TTTTTTTTTTTTAAAGCAATTTATTAGGTTTTACAATAGGAATAAATGTAATAAACAATATAGCATTCGTCTTAACATATTTTCACATTTTCTTAGGACTTCCTCACATCTCCCGCTCCCACCTTCATCATTATAACATTTTGTCAGCAATTTATCATCTTATTTAAATTCTTATATCTCTTCGATATTTCATAATCTTAAAGTTCTCATAAAGAGTTAAACTTTCACAATTTTTCTTGTTTCCTTAAAAATTTCTAAGTTAAGTGGTGCTCAGTTATTTAGTCCAGCATCTTATTCAGCATTCAATCAAATCACAATGTTTTTGTAGGTAGTTCTTAAATTTCTTCCAATCCTCCTCGATTCTCTCTTCTCCCAGGTCACGGATTCTGCCAGTCATTTCAGCCAGTTGCATATAGTCTATCAGTTGCATCTGCCATTCTTCCAGTGTGGGTAGATCTTGGGTTTTCCAATGTTTTGCAAGTAGTATCCTTGCTGCTGTTGTTGCATACATAAAAAATGTCTGGTCCTTCTTTGCCACCCCTTGGCTGACAATACCCAAAAGGAAAGCCTCTGGTTTCTTAGTGAAAGTATATTTAAATACCTTTTTCAATTCATTGTAAATCATTTCCCAGAACGCCTTCACTTTAGGGCATGTCCACCAGAGGTGAAAGAACGTTCCTTCACACTCTTTGCATTTCCAGCACTTGTTATCAGACAGGTGGTAAATTTTTGCGAGTTTGACTGGGGTCATATACCATCTATAAATCATTTTCATTACATTTTCTTTCAAAGCATTACATGCAGTAAATTTCAATCCATTACTCCACAGCCTTTCCCAGTCCTCAAACATAATATTGTACCCAATGTCCTGTGCCCACCTTATCATAGCCGATTTAACCATTTCATCTTGTGTATTCCATTCCAACAGCAAGTTATACATCCTTGAAAGTATCTTAGTCTTTGGTTCTAACAATTCTGTTTCTAATTTCGATTTCTCCACCTGGAACCCTAGTTTCTTATCACTTTTAAAAACTTCTTTAATCTGAGCATAGTGTAACCAATCTCGCACTTTGTCTTTCATTTTCTCCAAGCTCTGCAATTTCCAATTGTCTCCATCTTTTCTAGTATTTCCCAATATTTTGGCCATTTGGCCTCCATATTGGGTCTTTTTCGAGCCTTAGCTTCCAAAGGTGAAAGCCACCTTGGTGTTTTATTTTCCAGCAAGTCTTTATATTTTGTCCAGACATTAAACAGTGATTTTCTAACAATATGGTTCTTAAAGGCCTTATTTGCTTTAACTTTGTCATACCATAAATATGCATGCCATCCAAAAACATTGTTAAACCCCTCCAAATCTAACACATCAGTGTCTTCAAGAAGTAGCCAGTCTTTTAGCCAGCAGAACGCTGCGGCTTCATAGTACAACTTTAAGTCCGGCAGGGCAAAGCCCCCTCTTTGTTTTGCATCGGTTAGTATCTTAAACTTAATTCTGGGCTTTTTGCCCTGCCAGACAAACTTCGAAATGTCTCTCTGCCACTTCTGAAAGCACCCCATTTTGTCCAATACCTGCAGTGTTTGAAATAAAAACAACATTCTTGGCAATACATTCATCTTAATCGCAGCAATTCGGCCTAACAAAGAAAGTTTCAATTTTGACCAACTGTCTAAGTCTCTCTTAATTTCTGTCCAACATTTTTCATAATTATCCTTAAATAGACTTAGATTTTTGCTGTTATGTTTACCCCTAGGTATTTTACTTTTTAACCACATTAAGTTCCGTCTCATTCTGAAACCGTTCTGACTCTGTCTCAGTCAGATTTTTCCCCAAAACCTTAGTTTTCTGTTTGTTTAATTTAAATCCCGCCACCCGACCAAAGTCATTAATCAATTGTAATACTCTTTTCGTACTAGGCTCTGGCTTCTGCAAGGTCAAAACCAGGTCATCTGCAAAAGCTTTTAATTTATATTGTTTCTGACCAACCTGAATTCCTTCCACCAGCTGGTCCCCTCTGATCATGTTCAATAGCACCTCCAGGACCGAGATAAATAACAAAGGGAAATAGGGCAACCTTGTCGTGTCCCTTTTTCAATTTTGAACTCTTCTGTAACCACATTATTAACTATCAGTTTTGCTTTCTGTTCTGAATATATCGCCTCAATCCCATTCTCAAAACCCCGTCCCACTCCCATCTCTTTTAAGTTTCCCATCATAAATTTCCAAGAAATGTTATCAAAGGCCTTCTCCGCATCTATAAAAATTAAAACAGCTTTTGTATTTATGTCAGTTTGGAGAAGTTCCAAAATATCAATAATGTTCCTTGTGTTAGCAAACAAATGTCTACCTGGGAGAAAACCGGCCTGGTCCTTATGAATTACTTCATTTAAAACTTTTTAAATCTACTTGCCAAAATATCTGCAAATATTTTGTAATCCACATTTAAAAGGGAGATGGGACGGTAGTTCTTCAGTTGTGTCTTTTCAGTTTCTAACTTTGGTATCAATGTGATAAACGCTTCCTTCCACGAATCCGGTGCCCTCTTCCCCTCCATAATTTCATTGCTAACCTCCATCAAAGGTTGTATCAAATAGTCTTTTAGTGTCTTGTAATACTTGGAGGTCAGCCCGTCTGGCCCTGGAGATTTGCCAAGTTGCATGTTCTGAATAGCTTGTTCAATCTCCTGTCGTGTTATTTTAGAGTTCAGGATTGTCCTATTTTCTTGTGACAGTTTAGATAATCCATTTTTTGCCAAAAATTGTTTAATCTCAACTTCGTCTTGCGGCCCTTGGGTATATAACTTTTTAAAATATCTCTGGAAACACTTTCTAATGTCCACTGGATTCTGAATGTTTCTTCCATCAACCTCTAAATTTGTAACCGTGTTTAATCTTTGTCTTCTCTTCAACTGCCAAGATAGCAGTTTTCCACATTTATTCGCCGACTCAAACGTTTTTGTTTCATTAATTTGATCTTCCATTCAATTTCCTGATTTATCAATTTAGAATACTGTGTTTGATAAAGTTTAATTTCTCTCAGAGTTGGCTGTGACTTTGGATTCACTCTTAATTTCTTCTCCAAGTCTTTTATTTTATCCAAACTCTTGTCTTTTTCTCATTTTGTGTTTTTTTCTTTACTACATTCTGTTGTATCAGAAAACCCCTCATAACAGCTTTGCTTGCGTCCCAGACGATTCTTTTTTCCACCGAATTGTTCATATTTATCTCAAAATAATCTTTCAAAACTTTTTGGGCCTTCTTGGTAATTTCCTGATCTCTAAACAAATTGTCATTCATCTTCCATCTAAAGGATCCAGTTGGTAGTAGTGTCATGTCCATCTTTACTGCGTTGTGGTCAGAACAGGTCTTTGGGCAGATTTCCACTTTTCTAACCCTAGGTGCCAGGCCTCTAGAGATCCATATTTGGTCGATTCTTGTCCAGGTCAGTTGGGCTTCAGAAAAGAATGTTCCTTCTCTACCTAGTGGGTTTTTGTTCTCCAAATGTCGATCAAGTCCATATTGTCAGTCATTTCAAAAAAGGTTTTAGGTAGTCTGCCATCTTTTGTGATGTTTTGACTTTGCGACTTGTCCATGTTAGTTGACACGACCCCGTTCATGTCTCCCATCATTATGATGTTGTTGTAATCCAGATGATCCAGCATTGTCCCCTGCAACTTCTTGTAAAATTCCGATTTCCCTTCATTAGGCGCATAGATTCCTAATATCAGCAATTTCTCTCCTTGATATTGTATCTCAATAGCCAAAATCCTTCCATGTTCATCTTTAAATAGAAATTTAGGTGACAGGCTCTCTTTTGCATATATCACCACTCCTCTCTTCTTCACTTTATCCGACGAAATAAATTCCTGGCCCAATCTTTTATTTATTAACACTTTTCTGTGGAGCCTCGTCACATGTGTTTCTTGTAAGCAAATAATGTCCAATTGTTCTTTTTTTAATATATGAAAAATTTTCTTCCTTTTCTCCGGGATATTGCAACCATTAATATTCCAGCTCAACAGTTGCAGAGACATCCTGGATCTATCTGGTTATTTCTCCTGGGGTGGTGTCTTCTCTTGATCTTCAAGTTCCCGAGGTGGAGGTATTGATGCTGGCTTTGCCTCAGGCCCGGAAGGTAGTTCAATTCCTTTATGTAGGTCCTCTCCGTGTGTAGCCAGAAATTTATCTCTCTCTTCCAATGTTCTAATTTTAACCTTTCTCGCTCTAAAGGTAAAAGACAATCCCTGGGGAAAATCCCACCTGAATGGAATTGCGTTGCTCCTTAATAGTTTAGCTAGTTCAGAATAGGCGGCTCTAAGATCCAACAGTTGTCTTGGGATATCTTTATATATCTCAATTCTTCTATCCAAAACTTCCAGTGACTTTTCGTAATGTAGGCCCAAAATCTTATCCCTTTCCTCCTTCGATCTCAATGTAATCAAACAATCCCTGGGCCTCTCCTTCTTTATAAATCTTCCAAGTCTGAAAGCTGACACAATTTTAAAGTCCTTTTCTTCCAAATTCCAGAACTTGGAAAGTTCTTTGGTCAAAAACTCAGTTAGATTTCCTTCTTCTGCCTCTTGTAATGATCTAATCCTCAGATTATTCTCACGATTTCGCAGTTCTATCATAGAAAGATAAATCTGATGTTCCCCAACTTGTTTAGTGAGTGGTCTTACCTCTTGCTCTAAATTTTCCAATTTTTGTCTGGTGTCCTCAGCCAATTTTCGATTTTCTACTGAGGCCTCCGTCAACTGTCCAATTGCTTGTGTATTCTGTCCCACCTGTGTAGTTAATTTGTTTAGACACTCTGTATTTTTATCAATCTTTGCTGATTGCGCATCTACTTTCTTGTCCAAAGCTTCCAATTTTTCAAAGATTTTTCTAGCACAGAAGCAGATGCTCCTGAGGCCATATCTTCCAATTGTAACTGCTCTACTTCACCCTCTCCCTCTTTTGCCTGTGGCAAGGCAGCTTCTTCAAGTTGTACTTCTGAGGGCAAAGTAGGCACAGATGATCTACGTGTCTGCGAGGCTGAGGTTAGATTTGTTAGAGTTGTTTGTCTAACTCTTCCTCTTCTTCTTGTACCACTCATTCCAATGTTATCTATCAGTCAAGGTCACACTGAGTTTTTCCCACAGGAATAGAGAGTCCCAGAGCAAGCAGACAACAAGAGAATCGAAAGTAAATGTTTTTATAAAGTCACTGTTTTAATCCAATCCTCTAGAGGGAGCTTAAAATGTCTTTTCAGAGTCTGATTTAATGTCCCAGAACCTTCCAATATAAGTATTAAGCAGAGTTTAAAGGTAATCACTTTGTTGCAGACAGTGCTTATTTGTCTCCAAAAAGAATGTTTCAAATTTAAAATGTCTCAATGCCCTCAAATTGTTGCAACTTCCAGTATACAGTATCCAAGTCAAACACTGACAGCCCACTGTTACAATGCTCAAGCAGTCCTGACTCTGGGTTTCACCTTCCAATTTGTAATCCAATAAAAGGGGAAAGTCAAGTGCAAATAAAGGGTCCAAATCTTTAACTTGCTAATTTTACTTTAAATTGTAAGTTCCATAGATGCTTGGCTGTGTAGAGTTTAAAATCTCTTTCTTTCAGCCTCCACTCCTCCACCTTAGTTGCTTTTTTTTCCAAGTTCAATGGCAGCGGAAGACGGACTTCCTGTTTCCACGTCTCTCCGCTTTCAGCCAAATTCAAGTCAATTTAAACCTTCTCATTTAAAATTTGTAATTCCAAGTGATTCAGTCTTTACTCACGAGTAAGTTGTTTTCTTCCAGGTCCGAATTTTAACAGGAAAAGGGATCAGCGCTCACCGGCAGCAGCAGCGCGGCTTCACTCCGCTGACTGTGAAACGGCTCACAGCGCCGCAGCCCCCCTCCACGCTCCGGAGCCTCTTACGAGGCTCCTTCTGCAGTTGGAGGGCTGCTCTTGGCGCCCGCCGAGCCTCAGGACCCCAGGCTCTTGCTGCCTGGGGTTTTTCTCACTGGGTCTCCGCTTCGCCGTAGCGGACGACCCGGTTTCAGCGGAGCTTCTTCTCCGGTCGGGAGAAGACCGCCATTACCGTTCGCGCCGCCCCCGGAAGCTCCATCTTCCCAATTTAACCTTTCCTGAGAGCATCCAAGACGATAAGGCATCTGTTCTGAGCAATATATGTGCAAGACGAAAAGAGGTGACCGCCTTTTCCTTTCCCCCTTCCTCCTCCTTCCTCTCGCACCTGTTTTGTGGCTTTAACCCTTGCAGCTTTTTGTTCTGACCTGGCACTATTGCATAAGTGTGGGGCATTTGTTGTTTTGACTTTCACATTCCATAGGAGCAGGTGGAAATTCCAAACACGCATGTGTGTGTGTGCGTGCGCGCTTGATCATATGTTCAGCGCAGCTCGTTCTGGTTTTTGTTTTTGTTTTTAATAGACCCATGTGTAATTCTTCCTGGCCTAATAGCTTTGGGGGTGGAGGGGAAGATGTTCTGGCATTAGCTCTTGTCCAAAGGTTTTGACTAGCCCAGGCTTCCTCAAACTCAGCCCTCCAGACGTTTTTGGCCTACAACTCCCATGATCCCTAGCTAGTAGGACCAGTGGTCAGGGATGATGGGAATTGTTGTCTCAAAACATCTGGAGGGACCAGGTTGAGGAAGCCTGGACTAGCCTGCCTTCGATAAGCCAAAAATTGTGGCTCCTGCTTCTACCCCAGTTGAATATTGTGCAACCACAGCAAATTCCCCCAGCTCCCTTGCCTGCGGGAAAGGGCAATGGGTGCATTCTGATTTGCCTCGGAGGTGGATGAGATAATGTTGACAGGACCCACGTGGGGTGGGGAGGTGGCTGGTTTGGCCTTGCCAGAATGAGGTTCTTGGGGTGCCTTAGCTGCGCAGAAATGACAAACATTTGTGGGACTTGGGGAGTGGATGATGACCACTGTGCCCTCTCCCATACCTGCAACTTCAAGGTTTGGAGGCAAGCTGGGGCCAGTCACACGTGTCAGAGGGTGGCAGCAGCATGCTCGCCATGGTGAGTGAAAATGTGAAGCCCTGATCGCTTAATCCAGGGGTGTCCAAACTTTTTTCATAGAGGGCCATATTTGATGAAGTGAACCGACTGATCAGCCGGATTACATCCCCGAGACAGACTTAATCTGATGCACTTCCTTCATGGAATTCTTTAGCTACACCTGATAGGACGTTCCACTACATCTTCTTGTTTTTTATCTGCTGAGATGTTAGTAGTTGCTGTATCATTGAGATAATGCAGTTTTCAGTTTCCCAGACTAAAACAAAGTCACAGATAATTCATGTTATGTAGATTGCACCTGCTTCACCTCAAAAATGGCATTGACAGGGAATGATTTCCAGAGCGGCAGAGTGTATGTGGGTGCTAAGCCCTTGTGCTGCCTACTGCAATGCTTGCCTTGCTTTCTCCCCATCTGGGGTCCCAAATACCGGTAATTGTTTTTATCACAATTCAGGCTGAATTGCTTCCAATGTATATTCACTAACGGGCCATTTCAATTTTTGTGTTGCAAAAGGCTAAGTCCTTCCTTACAGCGATGCTTTTGGGTTTTAAGATCTGCAGAAGGGGTCCTTTTGCTAGTTCTGTTGCCCTCTGTTGGGGTGTTTGCATGGAGAGCCGGGAAAAGGGCGTTTTCTGTGGCAACCCCTAAGTCAAGAAATTCCCAACCCACAGAGGTGTGTCTTGACACCTTCACTATACAGCTTTCTGTGAATGCTGAAGATGCTCCAGTTGGACATTTTGACACATGAGAGAGAGAGAGAGAGAGAGAGAGAGAGAGAGAGAGATTTTAGGACCATCCTACTGTTGTGATTATAATCTGTTCTGATTTGTTTTTAATACTGTATTTTAAAATTGTTTTAACCCACACTGGGACCTTACATTGAAGGGTGCACTAAGAAATTGGATGAAAGATTATCCTCATGGTGCTAATTATTTGCTTTAGATTCTCCTGAAATATAGCTTGTGAGTTTTTCTTGATCATCTAATTTTATAATCAAAACCCAAATCATTATTATTGTTTCAGAGAATTTTTTCACATGTGTACATGCCATGATTGACAGCAGCCTGAAAATTCAATCATTGATCCACACTGTGCGTTATATGTAGTTGGTTCTCTCTCTCTCTCCCCCCCTCTCATTTTCACTGAAGACCATTTGCTATTGCCACAGAAGAATATAAATATCCATTTGCTTAGCACTGAAAGATTCACAGCCAAACCTCTCAGCTAGGCCCTGCGTGTTGGATTACTGCCAGCGCCATTGTATGCCTCTCTTCTATACACAATTCACTGCTACAAGAACTTTTGTGTGTGTGTATGTGTGCTTTTAACCAAAGATCTCAATGGCAGCCTGCCATTCCATTATTTAATAATTAAATTGTCAAATTATTATTTCAACTTCTTCCTTAAAAAGCTTTATTAAGTCTTAGGGGTGGGCATTCCATTCTTCTTCTAACTCAGGAGGTAGAAACTTTTTGCATTCCTTCGTGTTCTCGTTTTGGCTGCCTTGCTCTGGTCAAGCTATGCAGCTGTTGGGCAGAGATATGTTAAGTGTTACAGTCCGGGTTTTTTAACTTGCTTGGTGTCCCTAATTATTATTGGATCCCCCAGAACTATGATGTGAACTGCACAGACCTACCATTCCCAATGCAGTTTAACAACCAACCCCTCTTCCCAGGGAACTCTGGGAATTGTAGCTCTGTGAGGGGAATCGGGGTCTCCTAACAACGCTCAGCACATTTAACAAACTACAGTTCCCAGAATTCTTTTGTGGAAGCTAGAACTGTTTAAAGTGGTAGGTAAAGGTAAAGGGACCCCTGACCATTAAGTTCAGTTGCAGACGACTCTGGGGTTGTGGCACTCATCTTGCTTTACTGGCTGAGGGAGCCAACGTTTGTCCGCAGACAGCTTCTGGGGCATGTGGCCAGCATGACTAAGCTGCTTCTGGTGAACCAGAGCAGTGCACGGAAGTGCTGTTTACCTTCCCTCCGGAGCGGTACCTATTTATGTACTTACAC